ACATATTTAATTCCAAACTAAAAAATTAAGAAAATAATTGCCACAACGGTCAAATATTGATGAGTTTAACTATAATTAAAATGTGGTGTAACAAATAAAAATTGTGGTGTCAATATAATCACGGATTAATTAATGTTTATTTAAATATTTTCTGCATAAGCTCTACATTTTTTCATGTTTGTAAATCCATTCATTTTTTATGTTTGTAAATTTTATCTTTATTTTTCCGTTCTATTGATGGTCATTCAGCTTTACCACCAAGGCCAAAAAAGTAGCAAGTTAATAACGTAGATAAAAAACTAACATAGACTTGGATGGAGGTCTATGCCTGACATTCAATAAATGATGAAATAAAATTAAACTTGTTATGCTTCGCGAATGAGGCTTCAAGAACAGTCATATGGCAATCATACAGTAAGCGAACCCAGGCCAAACCTCCATAGACAAACGATGCGATGCAATGCGAAGCCCTGTAGCACCAATCTGAGGCCGTTGACCTCTAAGAGTATGAGACATATTCCCTAAAAGATGGTGCGGTGGGGAACCCTCATGGTTAGGATCTTTCATATAAGAGTACGAGACATATTACCTAAAAGATGGGGCGATGGAGGACCCTCATGGTTGGAATCTTTCATATAAGAGTACGAGACATATTACCTAAAAGATGGGGCAGTGGGAGACCCTCATATTCCCTAAAAGATCTTGTAGGATAATTGTTTCAATATCAAATACCGAATTTACACACTGGATACCGTATATGCAGATTGGATACCGAATTTGCAGTATGGATACTGTATATGCAGTGGTAGATACATCGATTTTATATATCATAACAGATTAAATTGTACATATAACAAATCCAATGATTCGTTGATTGCAGTAAGAAATAACAGGTAATTTAAATAATTATAAAACATCAATATGCAACATCAATATGCAGATTGTGCAAGAACAAGTAATTAAAACTGTATAAAACTTTTAACCCGAGGCCTGTGTTACACACAGTTTCCTTAAAACAGATTTGCCCCCTCACCGTACGTGCTTGAGATGTAATTTGAGCGTCTGTTTCCCAGGATACAACGGAAGATCAGTAGAGTCTAAGTACCATAGAAGCTACTTAGACGAATTGAGTTAGAGCCCGAACAATATCACCACCAGATTCAAACAGAAACGAAAATAGAGACAACACTTGAGTTGTATGTAGATGAATATTCAGATGAATTGTTGTACTGAAAATTGGGGAAAAATCGAGGTATATATAGATTTTGGATCTTATAACTTGCCTACTTATTTCATGACAATTACAACAGGAGTTTTAGGAGTTTCAACTGTTTCAGAAAATGAAGTCAGTCGAAAAATAAAATAAAATGTAGCAAAATGTAGGCTCTTTTAAGGGGCAAATTTTTGGTCAATCCAGTCCGACATTCGTGTACGCAGGTCGCGTTCGCACACAAGTTCAAGGTCCAATGCCTATTTTGATTCGTGATTTGCACCCCCTGCGCGCGTACCTGGAGAGAGCCTCTATACTAAACATGATTACCAAATTCTAAAGTGCAATCCTTTATAAAGTGGTTTTAGTTTTCATCCACTTCCTATGTGAGACAAACTTTAATTTTTAGTTTTCCTACCAACATAAACTCCTTTCACATGGCATACTTTGATCTTCAATTTCTCATTCACCCGAGCATCATTTTTGACAAGTATATAATTTCGATGTATTCACGGAGGAGAATACAAATCAACTTTCATCTTCTAAAATAGCCAAACGGGTCTCGCTCAAAATTCGTTCCAAAGTCACCCACTAACTCAATTT